TAGATGTGATCTTCTAATGACTTATAATATCCTAAACATTTTGGGGCATCCCGTTCAACACCTACTTAGGCTTAGTCCCAACACAAACCTTAGGGGTAACACTAAGAAACTAGAGACACAACACAGAAGAGCGAACTCTGGACATATCTTCTGCTCCTCAAGAGTAGTCAAATGTTGGGACTCGCTGCCAGGTGAGACAGTCCCAGGAGTCCATTAAGAGAAAAATTGTCATTTTCCTAAGGACTGAGGACGGTATCTTGCCATGATTTACTAACTTTTTTCTCTCATTTATCGTTAATATACCTAGACTCTTACCTGGAGGCATCAGTGACTCACTGCTACTAGATACGGAAGCCCGTTAAGCGAAAGTTATATTACGTCCAGAGCCATTTGAACCCTTTGAATGTACAACTGCCTTGATTTCTATTGGTCACTTCAAGGACGGTATGGTTTATTATGTTTTGTATTTGCAATTGGTTTTTTGTGCGTTTAAACTATCCATGTCTACTTTAACTTCTTACCGATTCAGGTAATTTGAAAGACGGACACGAAAGTCAATGTATAGCACAATTAATCCATAGATTCCCAATTTTTGAATTATCACTGGTTACAGGTGATTTAAGACTCATTGGTGTAATAATAATAAACAAATGGTAGTTTCTGCCTGTCAGGTACTGCGAATGACGTCGGCCGTCGAATTTGCCCTGATTATTATTTGGTAAACCTCTGCATCATGATGTTGCTTTCTATGATCTGGCAGTTCAACAATGCGGTCTCGGTAATAATTAATAATATTGATATTAAGTTTCTAATACTTAAGTCTTATATCGGTTTCTGTGCCAGCTATTTTTCAACCATTCACGAAATTCCAAGCAAGAAAGGAACGAAAACGACTCACACCTTACTAATCTATCATCATGGGTTTTTTATATGCTTACGATGTCAATATATGGAGAGCGATAAAAAAGTAAGGGTGGTAGTTTAGAGCTTCCAAATAACTTAGAAAAGTTATCTGATAATAAGCTTTGCAGTTATCGACAAACGCCCCTGGTGCATTATAAAGCAGATACACACAGGGCGAGTTACAAATGGTTTTGAACGGAATAGAAGCTTTCGCTTACCAGGCTTCCTTATCTATTAGCAGTGGATCACCAATACCTCCAGGCAGGAACCTAGGTATGTTGTCGATAAAAGAGGGAAAAGGAAAAAAAGGTAGACCATAGTTAGACACTACCCTTAGTCTTTAAGAATATGTCAAACAGTGAGCTACCTGTTGTCCAGACACAATGACTTGGGAGTTATCGCTAGCCAATACTTTGAAACCACTGTACAGTACTGTGCGATAGCCGTCAAGGATTTAAAAACCCTATGATTAGTACGTAGAGCTTTTAGTCATGTCAATGCTAAAACCTTTTTGACCTTGTATACGGTATTCGTTCGTCCTAAACTCTAATGCATACAAGCGGCTAATTCTTGAATGAAAAGAGACAGAGATTTGTTGAAAAAGGCTCAAGAAACCGCGATCAAGCTGATTACCGGAATAGCAAAGCTGCGTCTGTCATCTGTCCTCCATGCACGACTTTTCTTTTTCAGTCTGTCGTATGAATTACGGATGTTGTTGACGATCTCAGGTAAAGTCAGTCAGTCAGTCAGTAACAACGTAGAATTTCGTACGTACGTACATCAGTTCGAGTTGCCATACCACATTAGCCTAGAGACGCAGTTGTCGATTCAAACCCCGTAGTGGTAGAGGTAGTAAGAGTATAAGCAGTAATCGGAAAGATTAGGGTTTGGAGATGTTATTAAAGAGTATAATCCAGTGAATTTGGGAAGAGAAAAAAAAGAGACAACGAGGAATCAGGTGATTAGAATTTGGAAGAACATAGAGTGTATGCACCTGCGCCATTGAAAACGATTTTAAGCCATGTCATTCAACGTCTAACCATCGGTTGCTATCATCTCGCGGTCCCCAATCAGGTAGTCTACACCTACCAACATGGCTCAGTCCACTTGTCAATGACCTCATGGACTTGTGCCATGTTTTGGTCTGGCCGCCCCTAGCTTTCTTCCAACCTACTCCTATACCACTGAACATCGCACGTCGAGGCAGTCGGTAGTTGGACATACGTAACACGTGTCCCAGCCATCTCAACTGATGAAGTTTCACTACTTCATCAATGGATTTGCCATCATTACCTAGTACCCGTTTCCTAACAACTGTGTTACTTACTCGATTGTCCCAGGATATACGAACAATGTTTCGAAGACACCTATGATCAAATGCTAGTAACCTACGAATATCCCCTACTCTTACCGGCCATGTTTCACAGCCATAAAGTAGGACGGGACGAACTGCTGCGCAGTAAACACGTCCTTTGGTTGATAGACGGATATCTCGCCCACGCCAAACCAAAACATGGCATCAGTCCTTTAAGTCACTTATTTCTAGTCTTAGCCATGTTGGTAGATGCAGACTACTTGGTTGTGGTCCACGTGACTATCGTAACCAATGATTGGAGATTGTGGGTGACATGGCTCAGAATTGATCACAATGGAGTCGGTGTATGCACTCTCTGTCTTTTAAACTATGCGATTAAAATTGCATTATATCTTTCTTTCTACGAACTAATTTTTTCTTTCTGTACTACATCCTGATGCACAATATTTCTTTCATATATTACCACCATCGAAGTAACTACTTCTATTAATTTGGTGTTCATCTTGTTGTGCTAATGAGGTGTGGCAACTTGGACCGATGCATATATGTGCTTGATCCTACGTTGCAGCTGACTGACTGAACCTTGTCCAGGGTTTCGATGGAGATCCATTCCTTATGATGGTGCTTGTTGAGGCCCAGCAGCTCCTGACACGTTGAAGTTGGTGCTTTCTTGATCCCCTTCCAATTGTCCTCCATAGTAGTTTCTTGTTCTGTGTGTAGACCTTGTAAGGCGTGGTACCTGCTGTTGAGAGCTAGGTTGAATTTGTTGAGTTTGTCAGTATGTCGAATGTGGGCTATATTGAACCTTTGTAATGCTGTTTGTCCAGTTGTCCAGTGCTTTTTTAACTTCAGTCTCATCTTGGTAACCACCAGGTAGATGGTGATCTAAAGCTATGTCAGCTCCTCTGCTGCTTTCCACGTCTCCCATTGACCGAAATCTCTTAGTGTTGCAAATACGATCTACCTGGTTCTCTGCAGTGTGATTTGGTAAGACCCATGTATCTTTGTGTATGCGTTTGTGGGGAATACTGTGCCGCCTGTAAACATTTTGTTGAATTTACATCAATTTACAAATCTGTCACCATTCTCATTCATTTCTCCTAGTTAGTTCATGTCGTCCCTTGATATCTTGATACTCGGTGTTATTCATTCGGACTTTTGCGTTTAGGTCTCCCATCAGGATGGTCAGGGCTTTTCCTGAAGACTTCTCTATGATTGATTGCAGCCTCTCGTAGAACTGATCTTTATCGTCGTCGTTGCTATTGTTGGCTGGTGCATAACAGTGGATAACGTTAATTGTGATTCCCTCCTTTGTTTTGAAAGATGTTCTGATGTTTGTGGATCCATGAGATTCCTATCCAATAAGTGGTTTTGGTGCTTCTTTGGGTAACATCAGTGCGACTCCTCGTTTGTGCATAGCATTTACTTTTTCATGACCAGATTGCAACAGCATATCTCCCGAATCCAACCTTTTTGTGCAGATTGGGTTCGATGGGTTTTACTTGTTCCGAGCACCACCAAGTTGTATCTCATTTCCGCAGCTATTTGATTAGTCCTCCACGTCTCCTAGTGTCCGGACATTCCGTGTACCAATATCGATTGTTTCTCTGGTTGTTGGAAGGGGCATCGACTTCGTGAGGAACTGATACAGATAGGAGGTAATTAAAGTAGTTAAGCTATGTTCCTTCTACTTTTGGTTGATGACTTGCGTTTCTGACTCTGGTTTCTGGATTGGGACTGAGACAAGTACTCACTCGCAGTCGTACTTTGAGTATTCCTTCTAGGTCAAACATCTGTTACGCAATGCGGGCCTTTGCTTCCTTCTGTTCTGTTCACTGTACTTGCCCTTAACTTGGTTAAAGGCCAGTTTTAACTTCGTGCTCTCTCCCACGAATTTCCTAACTGTCTGATCTTCTACCAGTTGAGCCACGTATTTCATAATATTGACTAGGAGTGGAATTCAGAAGGTACGTTCGTTGTTTAAGGCTCAAGTAGAGGTAGATAGAGCCTGGAATTGATGTTCACGTTGAAACTTGGACCGTAAACCGATTGTTTTTAACGTCGACGCGTTATCCACTAAAATACTGGGTTACGACAGCTAGTAAATTCTGACTGTAGACAGTATGTCGACTTATTCACACGAGGATTTCAAATACCGAATCTGATTTCTTGGATTTTTATTGAATCATTTCATAAATCCCTTGATGTATTCATTATTTTTGGCAAATCATTTGGTTGTTTTGGCCTCACTTTTGTCTACTCCACAAACATTAGTAATGGAGGTTTTGATAAATGAATAAAAATTAGGCGTTTCCAAAGTTTACTATTTTAATAATGCTTTTGTTTAAGCGAATTTTCTTCTTTAAGGGTCAATCAGTGTCACCAGCTACCTGCAACTTCTCTTAGCAAAGTCTAATGAATATAAGTTCTGCGTACTTCATTTCTAATATTTATAATCGTTTGAAACAGTCCCATTAGTTAATATATCATTGTTGTATATATATACTCATCTGTTGTTTTTATACATAACGTATGTATCTATTTCAAGTTTGTTAAAATTTAGGATTTGCATCCAATGCCAAAGAATATATGCTCCTTATTTTGCCAAGGTTAACTTATGAATTGGACAGTAATTCATTATCAACCATCTCATTCTAAAATTTCATGGTTATTACCCTAAGGGCGATTATCTCCAGGACAGTATTTTTGAGTGTCAGTGAAGCGGTTTGTAAGGTCTCATAGAAACTTCTAGTTGAAGACTGTAAAACTAATTCAGAACCAAATGTTACCTAAACAATTACCCTACACCAGTGATGACACTAATATCTCTGAGTCCACACTTAGCAATCATGGTTCGGATTTATTTTCTAACACACAACAGATAAACCCATCTTCAGTTAATTCAAATGCTCTTGACTCAAATGTTAGTCCTGAAACCAACCACAACGGTAAACCTCTCTTAGTTGAAGCTGTCTCATCACAAACTACAGATAATGCAAAAACTATTTCTTATCAGTTTCCCACTAACTCTGGTTATGAGTCGTTATCACTAAGTTCCAAGAAAGATGACATTATTCCAAGTTCTGCATTACTTCAGGAGATTTCAGTGAATATAGACGCTTATCAGCCTTCTAATGATTTGCCAGATAACGAAAATGTGTTAAGTGATTCTGTTTACCAGTCTGACAACTTACTACTTCATAAACAAGTCGAAACACTAACATGTAAACTCATGGCCTCGCAAGATCAGATTGATCGACTTTAGAAGAAAAACGTATTTGGGTTGAAAATATGCAGCATGCAAATAATTCTAAGGAATCGAATCATCAAGTAACTCCAGGTGAGCTACGCGGAAGATGGATACAAGCTAAAAATTTAGCTGAGACATATAAACGCGAAAAGGAATCTATGGTTATTAAGTACGCTCAGGTAAATGTCTTGTGCTCAAATATTATTTGTATTAAAATGATCTCATACTAGTGTACATTTTTAGCTTTATATTCTAATGCATCCTCCTGTCTTACCTCAATCCTTTCCAGTCATTATTTTTATGATCAACGTTTCTTTCAACAGTTTCGACAGAGTTTTCCACTCCAACTATATTAATTGTTTATTTGATACACAAGTCATGGTACTCTTGGGCACCAGAAATGTTTGTGTCACACACGTGACAAGATAATATTATGAAGCAACAGAAGAGGGAAGTAAAATAAAGAAAGAAAAGAAAATTAAATGGGGGAATAAGAGTAGTATGTATCATGAGATATATTACAGTTAGAAATCAAATCAAGAAAGGTTTTCAGTTGAGAGGAAACTGTAACAGGATCGCTAAGTGCTTTCATTCTGAGCCATCTCTGATTATCTGTCAAGCATACAAGTGATATACTCTAGGAATCACGATGGATCAACATGTGGCAGTCCTAAACAGATTTCTTTCATACTGTGAAACATGCCATAAACTGGTTACCTCTCTACTTTTTTCCACTCCAACCCAAGTTCGCCATATAGTGCGCGATGTGGAAGTCGCTGGGAGGTTATTCGTAGCACATGTCCAAGCCATCAAAGCCGGTGTTTCAGGATGGTGACATTGAAATGTTGTCACTCCACCCGGACCCATATTGATGAACCTCAGCATTACTAAAATGATGTTGCCACTTTTTGAGAAACCCTTGGGAGATGATAATGATCAAGGATTAGGAGTTACCCAGCATCCCTAACTTGGAGAGACCAGGTTTCACAAGTAAAGAGTAGAATCGTTCTCACCAGTGTTTTGTATACATAACTTTTCATGGGCAAACTAACATTGTGGGGGCGCCAAATACCAGTCAGTCAGTCAGCTACAATAGGACCAGGCACACGTGTGCGTCAGTCCGAGTTGCCACACCTCATTAGCAAAACAAGATGAACACCAAATTCATAGAGGCAGTCACTTCAATAGTAGTAGTGTATAAAAGAAAGATCTAAAGCAATTTTAGTCTCACTGTTTAAGAGAAGACAAAGTGTATACACCGACACGATTGTGATCAATTCTGAGCCATGTCACAGAGTCTCCAACCACTGGTTACAATAGTCACGCGGACCCCAACCAAGCAGTCTGCATCTAACGATATGGTTCAGACCAAAGATAACCCAGAATAACATAAGCTGTTTACTAAAGAACTTGTTGTTTCTATCTGACATGTCGCAGAATCAGTTTCAGTGGAACGAATGCATTCACTCTGTTTTTCATAAAATTCTGTATTTTAAGATTATTTCATGCATTTTATTTTACGATCTGTTTCCTTTTTCTCGAATCCGCTTCAAATTTAATCTTATTTTCACTACTACTAATACTAATACCCTGATATGCATCTTGGTAATTCCATCTCCTGTTGTTATGGTGTAACAACTTGAGCGTATGCACATTTGTATTAGGCTCTATACTGTTTATAGTTGATTGACCTCGCCGAGAATTTACACATTTTTAAGTTGGAAAATTCTTACAACCTAAATGTTTCTTATATAGAAGTCTCACACAGTAATTACGCTAGCTGAATATTATCCTATTGGTTTTCTTTACTAAAACAGTCTCTATCCTATAAAGTTTATTCTTGCCAATGACAATGATGGGGTCAAAAAATCCAAGAGCAGTGGAATACGTATCAGCTGATAATTTTGATATCGACGGACAATTATATCAATCGTATTGTCGCAAATGATAGCCTTACATCGTTACTTCAAGTAGTTATGCAATCAGGGCTTCTCATTAAGATTTGTATATTTTACGTGATTGTGAAATACGTATCAATCTTAAAATTATCGATCAACTGCTGAGTGGCTTGTACACTAAATACGTATATATTGGCTGTTTGGTTCCTCCCATTGATACTTAGGACTGTGATCGACCAGAATCTTTTGGCTTATGTGCATCCTGTGCAGATCGCCTCAATATTTCCATTAAGCCACAAGCATTGTAAGCAGAGATTTAGATACGTCCAGCTGACGAGTCCCAAATAGAACGGAACGCGTGTTCTGGATTCCACTGCTAGCAACTAATCCGTCTCTGATTATAATGCACCAAATAGTTTTCTAATCTTTAAACCAATTTTACTAAATGAGTTTTACAGTTATTTCGATCTTAAGGATTAAGTAACTAAAAGTTGGTGTGAATTAGAATCAAGATGTAGGCATACAAGGTATGGTCTACTGGTAAAATCGTTCCCTTCAATAAATGTTGTACAATCAATATGTATCTACTTTATTCTGATTTGATTACGTGACGTTTCATTTTATTGTTTCATCTAGTCTTTTAAAGTTTGATAACTATTTTTACCTATCTAAATATCTTCTTTCAATAGAGTGAACAGAAACGAATACAATTAGAACAACAGATTCACAGTCTGGAATGTAAAATAGGCCGTTTATTTAATTCAAATAACTTCGAACAACATCAACAGACGGAGGGAACTGAAAAGACTGATGATAGAGATAAGTCTTCAGTGAAAAACCAACCTCATAAAACATCTGTGATAAATTCGTCGATAGCAAACAATGACTCAAATGAGAAATCTAACATAGAACATCTTCAAAAGGTTTGTATTGGTTTTTATTTTTTCCTAGTCATAGTGTTATTTATCATGCCTGTAAATATCGTGGTCCATGAATCAGCGTAACATATTTCATCATTTTCTGCTGCAAGGTTCTGACTAATAGCTGTTTCAAAAGCTAATGTATACTTGAAATTCCAGGCAAGTTTTCGTGTGTTAAGAACCAGCTACATATCAGTGAGTCATTTATATGTTAAGTAAAACCATTCCAAACGGATCTGGACCACCTCATCCAAAGTCTTTAAACATTGCTTTTTTTTGTTTAAACACAAACATTGGTACAAAGGGGCACCAAAATATATATGTACCACACAAATCATTAAATTTTTGTAGGGGCTGTGTCCGGGTAAAGGATACGGTTTGGGAATGGGGTCGGCAACCCCACTCCGCAGAAGAAAAATTTTGCTAAAAAAGCCACCTCCAATCCTTTGATCCAGAAATCTAATCCGCAAGACAGTGGAGTAACGTTAGCGGATGCAGTCCCATCCTACTCCTACACAAAACAACATCGCCTGTCGAGGTTAGGGGTGGATGGACATACGGAATACGTGTCGCGAATACCAGCTCCTGAGAATCCACCACTTCGTCAGTCGATTTGCCATATTTATCTAGTATCCTATGTCTAACTCCGGAATCTCCCACTCAATGATCCCTAAATACATAAGTGATGCTATGAAGTCACCTATGAGCAAATACTAGTAACCTGCGGATACCCTACATTCTTAATGGCGGTGTTTCACATCCATAAAGTAGAACAGAGCGGATTGCTGTTCAGTAAACTTGTTTTTTGGTTGTCAGATAGGTATCTAAGAAAGATTGGTTCAGCGAAGAGTTCTATTTTCAGCGAATTAATTTACAAAGCTGTACAATCACAAATATATATACTCATTTTTTCAGGATGAATATTTAAGCCATTAACAATCAAAAGATTATTGCTTTCCCCGTTTAAAATTTTTTTAAATACCTTTGTTTATTCTACCTCACTTTCACCATGTCTAACAAAAGTTTATTGTCATTATTATTGTAATTATTATCATCCTGAAAAAGTAAGTATATATATTTGCAATTGTACAGCTTTGAAAATTAATTCGCCGAAAAGAGAACTCTTCGCTGAACCAATCTTTCTTATTTAATGTCTTAATGGGTGTATTCCGTTTACTAAAAAATTCCAAAGATAGATATCTTGCGTACGCTACTGGTGATCAAAGTTGGCAAAGTTCAGTTGAGCTTTTTCAATTCGTCGGGAAATTTCGTTAGACGTCAGCCCATCAAGGCCAGTAAAACTCCCAAGGTAAATAAAACGGTCTATGCACACGTCCATTCCACTCCCTATCACTATTTCGGGTGCTGATGTTGGCCAGTCCTGAGGTAACATTTTTCGTCTGGACGGAGAAGGTCGCGTCCCAGACGTGCTTACAGTGTTGCTTAAGGTGACCAGAATGCATTTTTCGATGTCACCACCAAACAGAACTATATCATCTGTGTATTCTAAGTCAGCAAGTAGATCTCCTGGTAGGAAATCAACCCTTGGAAAACCGGATGAGCGCTATCTCTAAAAGGATTTCAAGGACAAAGTACTGGTAATGTACTTATTATGAAAACGTAAGGCTATGTGTTTTTTGCAGGTTAGAGTTGAGAATCCTTATTGCTGAAGAGTATCATACAAAAATGAAATACTGTCCAATGTTATGTAGTTCTCAGTGTTACTCAGACTGATGTTGTATTTTAATAAATGGCTTTAAAATAAGTTTTCGAATAAACAAGTGAATTAGAAATACAAATATCAAACTTTTACTGACTGACACATTAAAATAAAACTTATTGAAATTATCATTATTCAAGTTAATTGTCTAGCAACCACAAATAGCAATCTTCATTTTGAAAGTTCGGATAAATTAAGTGATTTCTAGATCCGAAGAATGTTCTTGTAATCCAACGATGACGAATGTCAAGAAATGAGAATTTTTGCTAATATGTCTAAGCTTAGTGCTAGGTACACAATGAGTAAATCTGCTTCTGTTCATAATCTTGAGCCCCACCGCTTAGTATTCAACTCCAGATATCGATTTTCCTACGGACCTTTAACGGGAGGTCTGTATCATCCGATAAGACTGAAAATAACATTTAACGACTTCAAGGTTTGACGTCATGTTGTGCTCTACTCCGCTCGTTAAAATAGTAAACTTGTGTAGTATATCTTACAATTTCATTTGATGAAGATTCCAACTGACTTACCGCCTCCACGTGAGTATGCTTTATTCAACGTTAGAGTAAGACATTCAGAGGCTTCACCATTTTCAAGGAATCTTCGACAAAACATATATGCTCAAATATTTACAGTCTACGTAATCCTATTTTGGGAGACCTTGTTCCACTCTTACAAAATAATGTACATTCGACTGTTATGCAATTAGCGAATTATAAGTCTTCCAATCATTATTATTTATTTATTTATTTGAACACAAATATTGGTACAAGAATGCGCCAAATATATATGCGCCACACAAAACAATGAAAATTTAAGGGGAAGGAAAAAAAGAGAGAATAATAACGAAGAGATTGATGTAAGGTGGTGTAATAATAATAATGGTAAAAATGGGGGAACGGAAAGGTACAATCAGAAGAAATCTTTCAGTTAAGGAAGACACAACCAATTTTTATGAAGAAAGTAAAAGAAGGTTACAGCAGGATCGCCACTGGCTTCTATTCTGAGCCATATCTGATAACGTCTCTAGCCACTGTGTAGCACCATCTCTCAGACCCCAACCAGGGAGTCGTGAAGGACCAACACAAGCCAGTCCTTTGCAGCTTTCTTTCATGCCACGACACCATGTCATGCACTGACCACCTCTCCGCTTTTTCCAACCAGTCCCAGAGTCGGCAAATAATGCACGACGTGGAATTCTCTGGGACGACATTCGGAGAACATGTCCAAGCCACCGAAGTCGGTGTTTCAAGATGGTGACACCAATTGATTATCATCTCTGTGCCCGAACACACGATGCCGAACCTCTGCATTACTGACATGGTGTTGCCACTGAATGTCAGCAATCCTTCGGAGACAGCGATGATCGAACACAGAGAGTCGTCTAACGTCCTCAACTCGGAGAGGCCAGGTTTCACAAGCATAGAGCAAAACTGCTCTCACCGACGCGTTGTAGATCCGACCTTTTACAGCCAGACTAACATCACGAAGGCGCCAAAGGTGGCCCAGATTGGCATAAGCCGCTCTGGCTTTCACTATTCGTGCATTGATCTCATCACTCACACCCCCACCAGCACTTATGCAGCTACCCAGATACACGAACTTCTCGACTACGTCTATCTGCTCACCATCCAGGGTGAGTACAGGATTAGAATCCTGCCAGTCTTGTAGAAGTACTTTGCACTTCGAAGGTGCAAAGCACATACCATACCTACGGACACTGATTGCCAACTGATTAAGTGCGGATTGCATGCCTTGGGCATTATCGCACAGTAAGACAATATCGTCCGCATACTCAAGGTCGAGAAGTCTTTCTCCAGGCAACAGATCCACACCACCATTACTTACATTCATCAGAGCTGTTTCCAGAATGTCATCGATGGCAAAGTTGAAGAGGAATGGTGAGATTGGGCAACCCTGCCTAACCCCACTGCTCGAATGGAACAATGGAGAGAGGTGGTTGTATGCCCTCACTCTGCCTGAGGTGTTTTATATAGGGCTTTTAGGATGTTAATAAACTTCTCAGGCACACCCTTCTTCAATAGACAATCCCAGAGAACAGTCCTGTCCAACGAATCGAAGGCAGCCCTGATGTCAAGAAACACTACGATTGTTGGCCTTTGAAAAGTATGGCGGTGTTCTAACATTTGGCGGAGGGTGAAGATATGATCAATACATCCTCGACCAGAACGAAACCCAGCCTGCTCCTCGCGAGTCAATCTTTCTCGGGTTTTGAACAACCTACGAAGAATGACGGAAGCCAATAGCTTGGACGCAATCGGAAGTAACTTATCCCCCGATAGTTGTTACAGAACGACGTGAACCCTTTTTAAAGATAGGGACAACTATCGACTCATTCCATGACGTTGGTACACTCTCTAGTTCCCAAACCTTTGTAAACAACGTCGTCAATTCCTTAGTCAAAAAGTCACCACCATCTTTAAAAAGAGCCGGAGGTAAGTCATCTGGGCCAGGTGATTTGTAACGCTTCAAGAGTTGGAGTTCCTTGCGGACTTCCTCCTCATTTGGTGGATCAGTCGTCACCGGCCATGGAGGGCAGGACAGTCTGACCGATGTTGCCGGAGCAGCAGGCCAGTTGAACTGCCCTTCGAAAAATTCTGCCCATCGTCCAAGACGTCGATGGATGTTAGTGATTGGCATCCCATCATCCTCGCAGATTGTTTCACTCACACCAGACTTCTTGCTGCCAGTGGCTCGGATGAGTTGGAAGAGCTTCCGGTAGTTACCAGATGCAGCTGCTGCTTCCAGCTCATTAGCACGCATCGACCACCAGGCTTCTCGGTCCTTACGCAAGCTTTGCCCAATTTCCTTACGTAACATCCTTCGTTTATGGTCAAACTCACGGTCACCCGGAGTAGACCGACGGGCTTCAATGAGTTGTAAGGAACCAGAAGAAACCCAGTGCTTAAAGCGGGACGTTTCGCAAACCCACAACTGACTGTTCCCGCCATTTTCATGGCGTCATGCAATTGCAACCAATGCTCATCTATACTTTTCGGTGGAGTGGTAGCTAGCCTAGAGGCTAGCTCGGTTCGATACTTACTTGCAACAGAAGTTGCAACCAGCTTGCTAACATCAATCCGTTGATGGCGTCACTTCGTTGTCCACTGAAAAGTAAGGCAAGATTGGCGCAGACCAAGGCATGGTCAGAGTCCAGATAGGTACTCCAAAAGGAGCGGCAGTCTTGTACACAACCACGCCAGCGGTAGCTGATCGCGATGTGATCAATCTGAGTCCAGGCTTGAGATGCAGAGGGAGGACGCCAGGTGGCACATCGGCGATGACTGTGCCGAAAGTTAGTGCTAGCCAGAAACAGGTTGTGGTCTGTGCAAAGTTGCAGTAGACGGTCCCCGTTATCTGACCTGCGACCAACGAGTCCCCATCGGCCACCTAAACGACTCTCTTCTGTGCCTAGACGCCCGACCTGAGCATTCAAGTCTCCGGCTAGTACTACAATATCTGTCGAACGCACTTTCTGGAGAAGAACAGATAACTGGTGGTAAAACTCATCCTTGATTGCATCCGGGCTGCAATCTGTCGGGGCATAGGCGGAGATGACGAAAAGACATCGTTTCTCACGCCGATTTCTTCTCACTTTGATGGAACTTTCTAATCTAACAGCACATAACCGACTGTTAATGGGGATCCAATCGACTAGTGCTGCCTCAGCTCTAGCGCTTAGTGCGACACCAACGCCAGCAAGACCAGACGAAGATGCCACAGGGTCCCCGGATAAGCGCACGTAAAACAAGCTTTTTGAAGCGACAGATGGAGAACGAATTTGTAGTACTTCCCCAGTGTTATATCCGATGAAGATTAGATTACAGGTAACTTCCAAGGACTATTCATGGACTAATATTCTATAAATGTTCTTATCGTATAACTACTCAACAATTACATTATGTATATTTATATTCCTTTTATGATAAGCTTTATTTTGACCTATAATTTATTATTGTACGATTTACGGTTCGTAAGTTATGTTCAGTTTATTAACTACTGCCTCCCACATTTACAGCCACTTTTTGGGCTTATTTGTGTACAAATATTATTTCCTATTTTATGGTACGTTGTGGTTTGTCTGATTGATATATAAACCGAGTATGTCTGAAATAAACGATCTGCTCTGATTCGGAAGCTGGTATTGTGTTCTGGACTCAAGTGGAAGGGCTCGGAGGACATAGGACCAATAAGGACGCTAAACTGCCCACACCGGTTGAACGTCATTGGTTGGCCTAGTGTGAAGATTCGTATAAGTCGTATTCGGATTGGTAGATAAGTCGTGTGATAGAAAAGTCAGACATCCAAGGTCATAACAGCCAGAGTCTTGAATACGGGTCCCGGATAGACAACAAACATCAATATTAGGACTTTCTAAAGACGTAGCCAGCCCTATCTGTTGTCCGACCTGCATAAATGTGCGAACGTTGAAGGCAGTCAGTTTGAATGGTGCACGTGGTTTCAGGAAGACTGCTTCAGTACTCATATTCGGTGGTAACATACAATTTTCAACCGGACAGTGACTCGAGAACGTTTAGATATAGTCGAATTTCCACCAAAGACGAGCCGCTGTATAAGTATAAAAGAGGGTGAATAATGTGGTAAATAATAATAATAATAATTTGATTGTTAGTTGAAGCAAGTAGAGTAGTTTCCATAATTATAGGCAGTTCATTATATTTGTGTGTGGGCTGTGATACTGCCCGGGTGCCCAGACCGAAGCAAGTGATTATCTTAGGGGGCCACACCCCGAGCCTTTGACCTAAAGGTCTAACCCACAAGGCAGTAGAGCATCGTAAGGAGATGCAGTCCCATGGCAGCCGGTGACCAACGATTGGTTCATACGCCATTTGTTCCCGCAGGATACTAGTGCCCATGCGCACCATTGGTTTGGGATCCGGTTAAAGCGCCGGACATTCTCTTTTCGTCCTCTCATTTTCGTAAACAACACCCCCGCCACGAGAAGGCAGTGAGTAGGACTTCCCTGGCAGAGGCTGTATACGCGTGGCCGTGTGAGAGTATTCGAGAGGGAGAGCGGACTCTCCCCACTCTCGGCCGTACCAGGGCATTCGGGGACTTCTGCCATAATGTGTGGAACGGTTGGATAGCAGCAGGACCAAATTCAACGAGTTTTAAGTCCTGTGGCTAAGTCAAACTGCCAACTAAACTGTGGTTTTCTGAATGGAATCTGTCTCACAGATAACTATCATCTTCAGATATCCCGCCTCCTCGAAACAGGAGCAGGAGTTAGAAAAGGGTTACCACAAAAACATCACACCTCACTATAACTGATGGTTTTCATAGGGTTGATATGAAGTGTGAACTTAAGTGCTGATACACAGAAAACTACTCACAAATAAGCAGTTTTTAACTGACATCAAGCATCTGTCTCGAGCTTTGGGGTCGCTTTCCTAGCTTGACAAGAACAATGCGAACCAGATAGTATAAAGAACCGTTCATAGTATAAGCAGTTAGGAAGCGACAATCGCCTACACACCTCTAATAGCGCAACACTCAATTTGTTCATAGTCTGATCGTGTCCTGACTTCTTAACACTTTAATTTACACTATCAATCTTCTTCCTCGTGACTCATCGTTTTTATACACGTTCCACCAGTGCCAAAATCGTATTCGAAGCTACGTGTTGGACTTTTCAGTTCTCAGACTCTTCCACAAATCGGACAATAGGCTTCATTAGCTAAGACTGTAGAATCTCATACCGTTGATTTATATCTAAATAGGACAGTAAAATCTCGGAAGGTTAGGAAAGTGCGCCTCCTTGTAGTCCTTACTCACGCTTCCAGTGACTGTAACTTGAATGAAGTGGAAGATGAGTTATACAGAATGCTTTCTACTCTTTAAGATACTAAGGGTTCAGGTATAGTTAATTGGAATGGGTGATTTTAACCGTCAAGTAGGTATCCTTCGATATCCTAGCCTGGTAAACTTTAATTGTTTGCTGCAATTATATTCAGACGACTTCATTTCTACCAAGCACCAACTCTAATGATTCAGAGGTACAGTTCGACCGTGGTCATATTATGACATAATCAGAGTCCGAACTTAATGACTATTGACCTCAACTCGACGATGTATACATATAAACTTTATTGCTAGCTGTCGCTATTAAAAGGGTGTCAATAGAAGACTACTGCTTCTTTTGAGATGCCCAAATCATTCGTCTTTTGTTTTATTAGTTGTATTTTAAGCTGTTATATATTGCATGTTAATTAATTGATGCCATCTCATTTTTGTTTAATAAGGATCTTGCTTTAGCTCGTGAGCAAATCGAAAGCTTGTCTAAAAAGCAGTCCACTGATGAGTCACGTATCAGTACATTAACGTCAAAGTTATCTCAAGTTCAAGAGTCACTTAAAAGTGAGCAAAAGAAATCTTCATCGTTGAATGAAAATTTGAATCGTGTTAACAAGTCTTTGGAAAATGCACTAAAACAAGCAAAGGTCAGTTATTGTTGTAAATACATTTTCGTATTGATATATATTTAAATTTATCCCAGTTAAATTTCAACTCGACGCTACCACATTGGTAAACACTACAGTTAGAGAAAACTTACAAATACATAAAAATATAGGGAAAGCACCTGTGAAAATGTTTGAAATACTCCTTCACTGTTTGGGTTGATTTGAAGACGTTAGATGTAGTGCATCCAGTTTGCAATTGCAACCGTTTCTTTACTCCAGTGCTGTCATATTATTACAGTCATCTATTAGAACACTACCAATTGATTGTTAAATAAAATTGTGTTGTAAATGTGCCTTCTTAATTGTTATTTCATACCTTAGGCTTGATAGTCCCCAGGAACTATTTATAAGATTTACACATAAATCATATAGTCACTACATTATCTAGGTAGGATAAAGTGAATAACTACATTTGGGCCTCATCTCTCTGAAACAATATTCTTCTACGTACGATGGAGTTTTTGGTACATCTATTGGATCAAACTTTTGTTCTTGAAGTCATAAACGTGCATCCATTTTCTGGAATCGTAGGTTTATTTCGTGTAAATCCTATATTTGAAACCACCTTTCTATTTAAACACAAAAACCCTGAAACGCTATTCCAAAATGTCAGAAATATCCCTTAGTGTGCGTTATTATACAGTGTCAAGGGAGCGGGCGTATTGATTGAAGACAGTATTCGAAAAGGATGTGAGAATCGTGATTGGGATTAATCAATTTATCTAAGCTTCGGACTCGCAAGATATGCTTATCAATAACTCAATTTATTTTCGAACAGCAGTACACTTTCACTGAATGATTATGGGGTACGACTACTTGAAATGCTGGTAAAAAATGTTACATAAATATGTATTCGACACAGTCACAGACTGCGATCATTTTGTGGATCCAAGCTGGCCATTCTGGACTCAGTCCTGTATGTTAATATCATTTTGGTCTGATCACACTTAACCTCTTTCTAACTTACTCTTATGCTAGCAATCATATCACCTCTGGTAGGTGATAGGTAGTATTGTATTGAGATTCTGACCGAACTCATTAATCAGAATTTAGATTATAATTTTTCTACCTGGTATCTGCTATTCCTTGACCTTGACCAATGATACGTTCTGTTCTGTTCAGTTAACCTTGAACTAACATAAGCTACACTCCTATTAGGTGCCTATCCACATGCCTTTATCTCCTGCTTTGAGTCTGGGAGAGTAGTCAGGAGAAAAGCTTCTACTATCATATTTCAATTACCTAATCCATCCAGTCAGTCAGCACTGTATTTATCTCAAAATTATCAGCTTATATACACGAATTACCAGACGTCACAGCAACCCAAATAAGAAATCATACGCGAAGTACGATCATGCCATAACTGGGGTAGAACGAAGCAACCGGTACATAATTAATTAACAATAATCAAGGAATACTAAAACTCACAACAACAGAAAAATAAGCCCATTGGAAGCTTACAACCAAAAAGAAAACAATAATACAGTTATCTAATAACTATAAAATAAAAAATATATGGTCAGGACTCAGTAGCTAAGTGGATAACGCGATGGCGTTTGGAGAGAACGGTACTGGGTTCGAGTCCCAGAGTGAACATCAACTCTGAGATGCAGGCACATCCAGCTGACGAGTCCCAAATAGGACGGAACGCGCGTCCTAGATTCCACTGCTAGCCACTATCCATCTTTGCCTATAATGCTTGTAAATTAAGGCAATATCGAGGCAATACGCACAGTATATACATATGCCAATAAGAGACTGATCAATTTCAGTCCTAATCATCAATGGGAAGATTCAAGTAAAACAATACCAAGTGAAATAAGCAATAATGGTTCGAAAACAAGTTCCAAAAGTTCTGACTTCCCCAATACTCGTTTCATTATAGTAGTAGCACTACTACAGTCGGTGTTCCCAGACTCCGCAATGGATTCATAATATTGTCTTAGTACATTACTTATAGTTTACTTACTGATTCCACCATAAGTGTTCAACGGTTTGGAGATATCTGCATTCGAATATTAGCAATCTATCCATATCTACAACCTTCAGAGGTCATGTTTCACAGCCTTAGAACATTACAGAACGAACTACTCAGGAGTATTCTTGTTTCTTGATAGACGTATTAACTTTCAGTTAACATCACTGATAATCCAAGTTCGCGAAGTGACATAATTTATTCCTAAAATTTCATTGAATAAGTCATGCCATTATTGTATACTTTATCACGTAAACAGGCTTACATGATATTACTCAGTCTTATTGTCTTGTCTTTTGTCTTCTAGTTTTTTGTTCTCGATTTCTTGTTATGAATCTCCCATGTTTTAGCTATGAAAGTTTGAAAAATTGATTATAATTGTTTATTAGATTTTTAATTTCACAGTTGATATGTTTGTGTTATCAGGACGGAAAATTGATTAAAATATGTTTCAGATGGGATCATGTTGAAGTGCGCTCACTAGTCCTTTTTTGAACTCCAGTTAGGAGGCCCAAAAGACTCTAAAATTTCCCTGAGTAAAGTTTATGTATAGACTGACAGTTTCTCATTACATCAAATTAACTTCTTTGCTTTGGAATATGTTTACGTTTTTGTCCAGGTCATGTTTGGATTTAGCAACCAGAGTCCAAGGATACTGCACCGATGAAAACTTATTACTTTGTAGTTTTGTTTCAGTAAAGATACGACAAATCAATAAAAATCAAAAGTCATATCAGTTCGTGTTCAAATAAATATTTTCCACTTTCATTTCTTTTCCCGCTAATAGGAGGCTGAACGTCTTCGTGAACGTGAAGCTGAACGCCTCTGTTCTGAAGTTGCACTCCAGGAAGCTCAGACTAGTTTAAAACAACTTAAAATTGAAAACGACACTCTTAAGCAACAATTGAAAGCATTGGAAAATGTAAAAAGTGATCTTGAAAAATCTCAATCTCGTATAGATGAGTAAGTTACAAAGGTGATCATTAACACCATTGTAATAACCAATAAATTCAATTCGGTAGTAATCTGTAACTCTAATTTATTTCGGAACATTTTTTCTTACTGCTGGTATCCATCCCGAATGATCTTTTCTAGATATTTATACATTTATCATAACTTTTGCTCCCGAATTTCCTTTACTTCCATCACAATTGTTTCAAGTAGTTAGTTGTATGCTTAAAATATATAACAATTTAGTGTTCTTACCGATTATCCCACCATCATCATAAATGACTGAATGTTTTGTAAGACCCCTTGGTATTTACAAAACCAGTCTCACTGGAATTCACACATTCAAGATCTATGTTTTCGAAATTTAAATGTGAAGTTTTATTGCTTCGACACCCTGAGTTTTCTTGGGCGAACCTTCATATATCAATTTGGGCGTCAGGTTTATGTATATTTTGGAACACAAGGTACTAGTTGATTTTGTTGGTGCTTTTCTGGTCTAGGCACAAGTTTACTTGGCTTTACTCGTTCGTCAATTGTGGTAATAACAACTTATATGGAGGAGAGAGGTGTCACTGTTTTAACAAGCAAGGATATGAAAAAAACTGTGAGATATATATCAATAGGTAAAAAAGACTCTGGTAGATAAGTAAAGATGTGTAAGCTGTTTATTTTCCAAACTATATTTCTTCCTATCTCTTATTCTAGACTTACCAGTAAGTTATCATCCGCAAATGATTTGACATTAGAGTTACAATCATGTAAACGTCGCGTTGACCAACTATCAGATTTTACACGTCGTCTAACTGAACGCCACGCAAATCTACAAGCTGAGCATCTAGTTACACTCAGTTCACTAGAAGAAACTAAAAATTTATTAATTGAGAAGGATGAAGAAATTGTACAACTCAACGAGAAGCATGAAAGTGAACGTAAAGAATCAGAAGGGAAAATGAATACACTTCAGTGTGAACTCAATGACTTATCTGTAAAGGTATTTGTTTGTGTCTTATATTATGTGAGTTTAGTTGTCTTTAAATCAATCACAATACAAATATAAAACAGCTCACAAATGTATGACCCAGGTGACGGTTCGCACTAATTACGTCTCTTCCACTTGCACTATTTGGTTTTCATGTCTCGGTGGAGCGGTCTTATTGATTGTCTGGCCACTTCAGCGTAAGCTATAGAACATTTAGGAAGCGTGTGCCAAATAATTAAATTTTTTGTTAGATAGAGAGTACTAACAGATACAAATGTAATGACGATAGAGTCAATTCTACCATACTCTCATATCCTTAGGAAAATTTTCAGAAGTATTGACAATTTAGATCACCTCATATTATAAAAAAATAAAGAAACATTTCACTTCTCGACGTATCATCATTCTTTCGTCTGAGTTACATTTAGGATAAAGATGGGTTGAAATAAGGTGTTATATAAACACTTATTCTAAATAACTCCAATCAGTGTTAACCAATTTGTTTGAAGTTGATTTTCATCACAAATTCATATTAATTGAAGGACCAATGGGTGAATCGCATCATGTTCGTAATAAAAATTTAACATGCTGGTTTTCATAATGTGTGATTTTGTATGGGTGGTTTACTGAATTTCGAACTAGGGCAATTATCTACAAAATCCTGTCTAGTTATTATCACTTTTCGCTTGATATTGGAAGCTAGAAATTATCGTCAAACTACTTAAGCGATTTCAGTAGTATATTTTATTTATGGTCACAAAGTGGCTTTTTTTTCGAATGACCAAAAAATATATATGGGATATATTCTCTTCTCCCTATGATTAGTTAAACAGAAATAATGATGATAAATGGCGTGACTAACATCACCTGGCATTTCTAATTCTGATAAAAGTTTGCTATAGGCCCTGATTATATTAAAAGTTTGAATAGTAAAGAGGCTTCACTAAGTTTATATTACTTCTGTTCATTACACCTGTTCATGACAAACACTGCCGCATAAGCTGTTTATCATTAGATTTGAATGCTGCCTTTAGGTTTCACAAAGTTATCGTTGAAACGCTTTTGCTCATTAGCATTCGATCGATTGTAGTCTTTCACCAGTAAAGGGTTATGAAGAACATTGCGTTTCATTGAAATCATGAACTGATCAGTGTTAGACCACCGCTGAAAAATCAGAGGCACTGGACGGGCGTTTCATCCTAATATGGGGCTCCTCAGAAGTGCTCATCGAGCACAGGACCTTTGGTCTCGCGCGTGAACTCGACTTCTAGACCACTGAGCCGGCACCTGACGGTGTTAATGTCTAACGTCAACCTATTCGCAATATTACGCGACCGTCTTCTCGGAGTTCTAGTGAGAAACCGTGACCATTGGATTTCAACCTTGTCGGGTGTGATGCAGTTATCCACCAAAGACAATAGAGAACAGTTGCGCAATACCATGGACTGGTTAAAGTTAGACATCAGCACCGTTGGGTACCGACTCAGTGGTCTGGAAGTCAAGTGTTCACGCGAGTAGGCCCTGTGTTCGGTTCTCACGCGCTGGATCGTGGATGAGCACTGCTGAGGAGACCCATATCGGGACGAAACGCCCGTCTACTGCCTCTGGGTTTTCAGTGGTGGTCTAACATTGATCAGTTCGTGATTTCAACGATACGGTCTTTCAATATAGAATTCAGTTATCAATCCTTTTCATCATTATTTCGAGCTTGTTAGCATACAACATCAATAACTTAGTTTGTCTATAGTGCTTTTCATATTTTTTTTATATGTATGCTTGTAAATATACCACCTATAGTTGAACCAACTTAATGAATCAGAGAATTGGCTTAAAATTCAGTTAAAGGAAGAGAAAGAACGTGCTACAGCCATTCGTAAACGTGATGCTGCACGAATTAAAGATATATCTCGTGAAGTAACACGTTTATCACATTATCAAAATAAACAAATCAATCAGACTGTTGTCATTCAACAATTAATCCTCCATCCGATTTAGAAAATGAATCGAATTCAAAATCGTCTACGAATTCTTTAGATGGTTCACTGAAATCTTTGGACTTAACTCAAATTATTTGTGAGGTAAATTAAAAAAGGTTCAAATTGCTGAAATCATCTGTTTAATGTTTGTTTTTCAGAGAAAGTTCAACTGTAAATTAAATGTTAATGTCGGAATAGAACTTTATAGAAAAGCTTCTTTATTTTGTAGGGCTTTTGTAATTAGCTTAATTTGTAAGTGGTGTTTATCATACAGTCATGTCAGCAATGGACTATTGAATGGCAAGGAGAAATGAACATTTGGTCTGTTATATCATGGAACTTCTCTGAAGTGTTCACTTATGACTCTTCCAGGGATAGAACTTTGAGCATTTAGCTGTTATGCCACTGGATTGTCATTTAATGGTCAATATTTTCGAATTCAGTCAATTCGTGATATAGTGAGACAGTAATCCCATACCGCTAGTAACGATTGTTTCACATTTGAAATTTCTGAAATCCATCATTCACGATCCCTCACTAGGGCTTTAATAACACATCTAGAAAATCAGCCGTTAGTAAAACTGTTGCTAATAGAGACATGTCGGTGATTCACTATTAGATCAGATAATCGGAACAACGGTTTGAGCACTTCAGCTCGCCTCCACTTCTGCGATTGCCTGCTTTCCATTAACATCTTGAATAAGAAATCGATATCTGACCCATCTGCTAACAAAGTTAAGAGAGCTGTAACTAGATTAATTTATTTTGGAGAAATAAACTTTGATTGTCGAGGTCTTCAATGGTGGTTGTTTAGTATTGTCAGTTAGATTGACTGTAACAGTAGGTAGAGTTCCGAAGCTGGGCATAATCCTAATTTTCTGACCGTAATCGCTGTTCATTCCAGTTCATAAGAAAGGACTGAAATCTCTTATAATCATAGGTGGTTTATTCAAATTAATTTTTCGTTTAAAATCCTAACTTAATCGTCATACGTACCTGTTTTATCTTCGGTTTAGGTCTACGGTAATTGCTAACTGCGGAACTGTTGAACTTGTTCCAACATAATTGGGTTATTTGGAGAACTTGATAGAACCTCTACTGAGACATAACGTTTTAACGTTAATAATTCACCCTGTTAGGAGATAAGGAAGACGGGATTTTCGTGGAGACTTTATATTTTGAATAGGAGTAAAAAGTTAAAATAGAACAATCCCGTTTATATGGTACCACCCAATGACTTTGGGACGCAACCCAATTAGCTAACCAGAAGTGATAACGACTAACCAGATAACGACAAAGGTCATTAAGGAAATATTAATTAGAAAAATGTCCCAGAGGTTATCTTTTAATGAAGAATTTAACATGTAGCAACAAAGAACAGTTGACATGAGGTTTCCCTAGCAGAATCTTGAGGACAGGAAAGTTTCATAATTGTGTTGTTTTGATTTAGCCTACCAACTAGAAGTCAAAATGTTTGTCTATCCATCTATGGGCTAATATATTCTGCAACAAATGCTTTCGTATAACTTTACTACCGTAACACACGGCCTTTAGTGGTTAGAGACATGCATATGTATTTAGTATTTTATCCCGCGTTTTAAAAGTACGACTCGCGGATTAGGGAGTCACAGTGTGAACAATTCTGTTGAAAGGAATGGAGTATTAGATAAGGGTAGTGAATCGTTAGCTAACACTGAACCTTCATTGATCAAGGTTGGTAGGACATATATGAAAGATAGTCATCACCTACTGTGAGTTGCTTTTCTGAACAGCACATTATTAGGTTGAAAGAAAGTTAAAGGCACCCAAACCAAGTAATGACATCGCTTTATGAATTCAGTGACTGTTGGCCCAATTCATGCTAAGAAATCCATAATTTATCGTTGTTATCCGTGAGATCATTGGTAAACGTAATAGTTTGAGGGAGTTGAACAAAATGACGAATGTAGACCAATGCTTAGCTCAAGATTCGAAGAAAAAAAACGAATGTGTCTGAGCTATCACTATTCATTTCGAACCTTGTTTAGAATGATATGGTACGATAATATCCTGCTATTTCCTATTTCCTATATTAATGTAAAGCCTTAGTATTATAACTATTCTAAATTATGACAGATCCCACTTTGTTTATGAATAATTGAGACCTTGTCCATCAAATGGCAAGATAACATTCTCCACTGTGAATCGTTTCATTCGCTTTGTGATTAATATAGTACATCAGGTAATGAAGACGAAGCATATATATGAATGAAGCTATTTCAAGTACTGTTAGAAAGGTATGAAGGCAGTTTTCACTTCCTGGTTGTTCATACTATGGAAGGACGCTTGTTCTTGAAGTACTTGAAAAGGAAGCTGGATTTGATTTTTTTTTCAATTAATCTTGTTAACTTAATCTCATCGTGTGGTATGTTAGCTTGGGCTGGCGCATATATTTACCAGACTACGTTGATTATAATTGAGTTTGATGTATACTCTAATACTTTATTCATTTATTTTTACTTTCGGTGAACAATAAGCGAGAAAATGAAAAACTTGTTAGTCCTGTGTCAACACTACCAATGAAGATTACAATAACTAACCAATTAGATGACTGTTTGTCATCGTCAGTTAACAATAATAATAAAATTGATAATTGTGAATCAACAGTTGTTGAAATATCATCTAACTTCAATTGTTCAGAACGTGATGTACTTCTAGAGAAAATTGATCGTCTTCAACGTAGTCAAGTAAAATTAACAGACAAAATTGAATTTTTTCAAGAACATTGTTATCAACTTACAGAAGAATTAAATAAAAAAAGTAAAGTTATTCAGGTACTTATAAATGCCATTTATTTAATATACATTTTTCTTCAATACTTCATTCCATCATTTAATGATTCTCAATAGGGTTCATAAATGAATTAATATATACGTATGAATAATTGATTAAATATGTGATAATCCTCATCTAAATTTCCAGGGGTTGAACTTGTACCGGGAGGTTCACTTGTTGACTTAGAATATGCTGATGACACAGTTTTATTTGGTGAAGACGCTGACAAAATGCAGAGTCTTCTGACCACTTTAAGCAACAATGCAAGCATGTTCGGGATGCGATTCTCTCCCTCGAAATGCAAAATGTTGCTTCAGGATTGGGTTACATCGACACCCGAACTAATGATAGGGAGTGAAGTAGTTGAGTGTGTCGACCGCTTCACTTATCTTGGAAGTCTCATCAGCCCTTGTGGTCTGGTGTGTGACGAGATCTCAGCACGGATACAGAAGGCTCGACTAGCTTTGCCAACTTGCGTCATTTATGGCGTAGGCGAGATATCCGTCTATCAACCAAAAGACGTGTTTACTGCGCAGCAGTTCGTCCCGTCCTACTTTACGGCAGTGAAACATGGCCGGTAAGAGTAGAGGATATTCGTAGGTTGCTAGTATTCGATCATAGGTGTCTTCGAAACATTGCTCGTATATCATGGGACCATCGAGTAAGTAACACAGTTGTTAGGAAACGGGTACTAGGTAATGATGGCAAATCCATTGATGAAGTAGTGAAACTTCATCAGTTGAGATGGCTGGGACACGTGTTACGTATGCCCAACGACCGACTGCCTCGACGTGCTATGTTCAGTGGTATAGGAGTAGGTTGGAAGAAAGCTAGGGGCGGCCAAACCAAAACATGGCACAAGTCCATGAAGTCACTGACAAGTGGACTGAGTCATGTTGGTAGGTGTAGACTACCTGATTGGGGACTGCGAGATGATAGCAACCGATGGTTAGAGACCCTGAATGACATGGCTCAAAATCGTTTGCAATGGCACAGGTGCATCCACTCTCTGTGTTCTCCCAAATTCTAATCTTCTGAATTCTTCATATCCCTTTTTTCCTCTTTCCAAATTTATTTCACTGGATTATACTCTATAAATAACATCTCCAAACCCTAATCTTCCCGATTACTGCTTATACTCTTATTACCTCTACCACTACGGGATTTGAATCGACAACTGCATCTCTGTGCTAATGTGGTGTGGCAACTCGAACTGATGTACGTACGTACGAAGTTCTACGTTGTTACTGACTGACTGACTGAATCCAATAATTATATTTGCTATTGATTGAGATCAAGAACCAATTGATGTTAGACTACTATTGAAAACCTGGAAGCACTGGACGGCCGTTTTGTCTTAATGTGGGACTCCTCAGCAGTGCGCACCCACAGTCCCGCTGGCGGGATTCGGACCCAGGGCCTTCAGTCTGGCGCGCGAGCGTTTAACCTACTGGACCACTGAGCCGGCATTCAACGGTGTCAACGTCTAACTCCAACCAATTCATGAAATCGCACAACCATCTTCCGTTGTACTGATGTAGATACCTGTCTCTACCTGACACATTAGCCTCACTGGTCACGGCTTCTCACTAGAACTCCGAAAATTCGCTCACGAAGCTAGTCACTGGTGAGTACATGGTTATTATCAGTATAGTGTTGTGGAGATTATTATGTTATTTATTGAGATTAACACCGTTGGATGCCGGCTCAGTGGTCCAGTAGGTTAAACGCTCGCGCGCCAGACTGAAGGCCCTGGGTCCGAATCCCGCCAACGGGACTGTGGGTGCGCACTGCTGAGGAGTCCCACATTAAGACAAAACGGCCGTCCAGTGCTTCCAGGTTTTCAATAGTAGTCTATCATCAATTGGTTCTTGATCTCAATCAATAACATAATAATCTCCACAACCTTATAATGATAATTATATTTACATTTATTAGATTTCACAGTTGTGAATATATTTACCCTAAGTTTTATAAATTTACAATCACAAATAAGCTGATGTTAATATCATTAATTAGTTATATGCTGATAATTATTATTCTTTACAATATAATATTCATTTCATTTAACTTAGAAAGGTAGTGCAATGCTGAAAACTTGTACATTGAAAAAATAATCATAACGGCTATTTTTTCTAATCGTTGTACCATACAAAAAAACTATATATGCATGTAAGTGACGACATAATTATAGATATTTGCAAACGATAAACGAAATTCATATTTTTCATCTTAAAATTGGTATGCAAATCCAATCTAGCTAAACTGTTTGGTCAGCTTATAGTCAGTCTAATTAAAAATAATTGCATATTTCTGTTTACTTTGTGACCGTTTACAGAGTGTCATTATGTCAGAAGTATTTTGTACCAATTTTCGATAATATTGAAGTATTTTTGCGTGACAATCTTCTCAAGTCATATAAGAATTTAATCGTCAAATGCATTTATACCGGTGGAAAATTGACAAAATTTGTGATAACTTAAATAGTTTAAAGGATATTTTCTCCTCGTAAGGGGTAGATATTTAAAGTCATAGAATCTGATCACATAATAATCAAAGCTATTGTGTGCATTTCGGCTTTTTTGAAGACTCTAACCAGAATGTATTCTTTATAATTTCATGTATTGCTTGTTTTAATGATTCATCCTTAACGTGTAGATGCTTGTTGTAGTGTTAGTGAGGTTTTTATACAAAGAAGAATAAAGTATCCACCACTCTACGGAAGTCTTGTTAACACTAAGCAATCGTCGTAATGGTAATATAAAATTGCATAACATTGTTTGACGGACGTAGTATTCTAATCAATATTTTTTAGGTATGTAACTTTAGATCAATAGTTTGGTGACTTGATATTCATCATTCGGTTCACGCGTCCAAAATCTATCTTCATGTATCATATTGTTTGGTTAGCCGGGTGGCATTAGCATTCCTAATCAATTTGTATGGTCGAAAGCCTTGTTAATCCATCCAAATTATACACTTTAAGTTGATTTTTTTTCCAACCCAGTCAATATATATATATTACTGATTGATAATAATAAGGTTCTCATCTCAGTAATATTTTTTAACGGTTCACTTTTAGAATCTCCTTGTTTCAATTGATAAACATTGTGGATCAACAAATTCATTTATTGATGATAATAATCATAGTAACAGAAAAATGTTAAATGTTAATCGAAAATATAATTCGATTATATCTTCATTATCTAGTGGCAGTGCCAAGACAAAAGCTGCCGATACAGAATCATGTCTTGGTGATAATACTCAAAAACTTCAAAATTTACTAGAGGATACAATATTCAAGAATATCACATTGAAAGTATGTGCTTTAAATTATATATATGCTTTTAGAATAATTCCGGTCCTGGTTATCATCGTGATACCTTAGATTCATGAGCAATTATTTTTAAATCCAGTTACAAATGTCTGACCTATTCATTTTTCTGAAAGCTACGTATATATATAGTTTTGTAGAAGATTCTTCTGAGATCTGGATACTACTTTTCATCAAATCAAATGTTGCAGAATATCTGTCTTGTTTTATCTAACAAACATGTTTCGCTGGAATTTTATATCACATATCCGAAAAAACTAGTCTTCTAACATGTACTAACATTCTTCACTTATGCTTCTCGTCTGAATATTCCTATCACATGAAATAATGATGTTATTCATATAATGAGTATGTAGGCATCTTTTAATTCTATGTTTAGTTTGATCTTAGTGGATAAGTCATCCGGCAGTGGTTGTCTTTCTTGACTTGAAATCAGCATTTGACTCTGTTGACCGAGAGGTTTTGTGGTAGTGTCTCTCATTGAAATGTGTACCTCAAAATTACATAAACTTTGTGATGGCCCGTTACTCGAACACTACTAGTCGAGTCAAAGTTAATGGCTGTCATATGCTTTTGCAACCTCAATTGGTGTCCGTCAAGGCTGTCCACTTTTCCTGTTTTTGTTTAACTACATCATAGACCTACTGATGGAAATAACGCTCTCGTCGACTGAATTTTCGGACGTTGATCTCCTACTAGGAGGTCCAATAATCGACTTAGAATATGCAGATGACATAGTCCTGTTTGGTGAAGACGCTGATAAAATGCAGTGTTGTGGTAGCACTAGGCAACAATGCCAGAATGTTTGGTATGCTCTTCTCCTCCTCTAAATGTAAGTTGTTGCTTCAGGACTGGTCTTCATCAACACCTGAACTAAGGATAGAGAGTGAAGTAGTCGAACGCGTTGACAACTTCACTGGTCAGTCGTAATGGGTTGGTGTCTGACGAAATCTCAGTACGGATTCGAAAAGCTTGTTTGGATTTTGCCAACTTACGTGACCTATGGCGAAGGCGAGATATCCGTCTATCAATTAAGGGATGAGTTTACTGCTCGGCAGTTCGTTCTGTTTTACTTTACGGCTGCGAAACGTGACCATTAACAGTAGAAGATTTTCGTAAGCTATTAGTATTTGACCACAGATTCCTAAGAAATATTGCTGGCTTCTGCTGGAATCACCGGGTAAGTAATAGAGAGATTAGAGGCAGGGTATTAGGGAATGATGGTAAATCAGTTGATGAGGTTGTGAATTTTCATCGACTGAGATGTTTGGGTTATGTGTTACGTATGCCTGAAGGCCGATTACCACGACATGCAATGCTAACGGGTGTTGGGGATGGTTGAAAGAAAGTTAGGAGCCGCTAAACCAAAACATGTGGCACTTATATATCTGGTGCCCCTTTGTACTAATATTTATGTGTCCAAGTAAATAAATAAAACCGAAACGTGGCATCAGTCCTTGAAGTCACTTATTTCTAGTCTTAGCCATGTTGGTAGATGCAGACTACTTGGTTGTGGTCCACGTGACTATCGTAACCAATGATTGGAGATTGTGGGTGACATTGCTCAGAATCGATCACAGTGGAGTCGGTGTATACACTCTTTGTCTTCTCTTAAACTATGCGATTAAAATTGCATTATTTTTTTTTTCTACAAACTAATTTTTCTTCCTGTACTACATCCTGATGCACAATATTTCTTTCATATATTACCACCATCGAAGTAACTACTTCTATTAATTTGGTGTTCATCTTGTTGTGCTAATGAGGTGTGGCAACTTGTATGTGTCTGGTCCTACGTTGTAGCTGAGTGAATGGATAAGTCATTCAAAAAGGGAATTAAATATCCTGAAGATGATAATTTTAATCCTACTATATTAACTAACAGATTACGTTGTTTGTCAGTGTGTTGTTTGTTTATTGTCCTAGGAAGCTTGAATAGTCTGACTATTCATCATTCAAAAATTATCTTTCATAGATCACTGTCGTAATCGCATTAATCCACCTCCTCTAGATAAGATTAATTCAGATAAGTAAATTTCCGTTTTATGATTTCTAATGTGTTATAATTTGTATTTCTGAAATTTTAATTTATTTTTTCAAGGAAAGTTTAAATAAATTGGGCCTAGAAATATCCAGTTTACGTTTAGCTCATGGACGTATACTAAACTCCGTTTGTGATTTATGTAAAATAAGCATTGAAGATATACTTAAAACATCGGGAAAATCTATTCATCAATCACAACACTCAAACAATCATTCAGCAGCTCAATCAAAGTCAGAACCACCAATATTTCAAAATGGTGGTGTCAATGCATAAAACAGGAATTCATCTCCCTATTGTGGTTACTACTGTTAAATATATTTTTTTTGATTACTACTTTAACCTTACAAAAATAACCATATTATTGAATCAAGATATTAATTGTCCATAATTAACTTTCCAGAGTATAAGATAAAAAAGAAGGCCGAATCTATGTGTTGAATCATATTTTGATGCACATTGATGAACATAATAGTCTCAAGATATTTTACCATCCGTTTAACTCTCTCTCTCTCTTTTATCTATATATATATATATATATATATATATATATATATATGATGTGAAATATGAAGGATGCTGCACAGTGCACTTTCATTTGTTCCTCTTCATTTCTTCTTTTTTTTGTTTCACCTGAAATACTTCTTATCGATTATAACACTCAATATATTCTGACAGCTTTGTATTGTTCTCATTCATTATTATACACTGTAATAATAATCTTTATAATTTCTCTAGTATCTGTGATGTCTTTATAAGCGTAAACTAATATCAACAATCATCCATTGAATGTTTTTCTTTTGAGATTACTTTTTAAAAATTATGTTTGTTTTGTTTAGTTTCAAGAAAAAAGAAGGAAAAAATTATTTTCGTTGTTTACTTGTTATCCTATTTTATTGTTTATGTAAATAATAATATCTCTTGAATCGAATTCTTGTCAGTAGTGTATCATACATATTTTAACTAAGTAATGCATACATGATGAGTACAGTTTTTTTTTTAAAAAAGTTTCTCGTACAATCGATCAATTTCATAATTTTTTTTTCTTTGTAATTTCTTATACTTAATGGTTTTTACCGCTTTTAAAATGTCTACAAATGTAATCAGTTTTATAAATACTGTACAATATGTTCAATAAATTTTAATATTACCAGAGTATATTATTTTCATTAGTTAAATCTGAAAAGGGGAAATTATCATTTTCTTTCATATAGGTTATTACATAGCTCATATAAGATTTCAATCATTCGAAACAGTTAGTCATATCCATATATAAAGTTAATAAAATACTGGGATTTGTTCTGTCTTCTAGTCTTCTTTTTTTTAATAACAACAATGAAAATAAATATTTACGATCAAGTTTTTCAAATCTGAAGTTCTTGTTAGTTTTTTTTTTTTAACATTTACTACATTTTGTGCTGTTGCTTTCAATTTTTTTGTTACCTTGAGCATAAGTATCAAAAATAATGAAAATTCCAGCAGCAGCACCTATGCGAGTCGTATTGATTATTTTTATATCTATTTGTATTTCTTTTTTCAAAACAGACTTCTAATCCCATCAGTCATTTCCAACACTTTAGGTTCACTTCGAAAGACCAGTAAAATTGTCCCTTCAATTTTATATTGGATTACATCTTTTTATGGATAAGGTGATAAGTCTTAATAAACTGTGATATTTCTCATTTTGAATGTCCTTTATTTCTTCGATGCATATTAAAAATCCGTATTATCATTTTTTTAAGCTTAGTATGGAGGTTTTGGTACTATACAGCAGAGTATGGTTATTAGAAAATAAATCCACGTATATAAAGGTATTATTATGTCAAATGGGGGGGGTAGTTTTAACAATAGATTGTCAGGTATATGTTCAACCCCCCTCCCTTTACATGGATCTGTATGCCCATGTATTATATCTAGTCGTTATATAAAGAAGTGAAGCTCAAAGCTTAATTTACTAGCCTGTACTTAGTTATTGAGCGATGTCTTGACTAATTACCTGAAAATTGCAGCTGAGTAGTTCAGTACATGGAAGTATTGAGACTGATATATTTTCGTAAGCTTAACTATGCTATTCACTCAGTTATCATCGAATGATATAAAAGGTGAGTGATCGGGAAGATCTTGTCATCCAAATATTCAAGTACAAGGATTTGAATCATAAACAGTTAACTTTTGATGTTAGACATGAAATACTTGGTTGGATGTTGGATTAGCTTGTTGTTACAGGACTTGTGTTGAGAGATTCACGGATAGTGGCTTTGAAACCAAATAAAACTAATTGAAACAATGACTACTGTCGGATTGTTTTAAGAATACAATTTCGAACACGTTTTGAGTTCAGTCGCTTTAATTTGAACTTGTTTAGGATACACTTCTACAAGTGTGTCCGCGTAAAACCTATTGTGTTTCTTTTTTAAAAAAGGTTCAAACTGCAAAATACTGTAGACAGTAAGAGTTCCCCTCTTCTCCATGTCACTCTGAAATCTGAGTCAAAATCAATTTTTTCCTTAGTATTTAAATATCAAGGAGAACTAATAGGATTTTCGAGACTAACTTGTCACAAAGCCACCTAAAGTGAACAATTGGCTGCTCTTTGCGGCTTCGTTTATTTCCTTCAAAGTAAACTGCTAATATATTCTGCTACACATCATTTATCAAAGCAATAAACATACTATAGAACTCAAATGTACAACCCATTTAGGTTTATGAACAAATTCAAGATCTGGAAATGTAATACAGTATATGCAGAAGTTTGAAATGAATTACATGAGATAATATTGCATTAGGTAGTAAGTGATTATTATATAGATAAAAATTATATAAGGAAGTCGAATCTCTTATCATTGCTTCGATTATTTATACAGGACCTCACTGTTATCTTTAATCATGAATTATAATCCAAAAAAGTCATGAACTATAAATGAGCTATGGTTTCAGACTATTCATTATTCACGATAGAAAACTTACCTAGTTTATATAAAACTAATTCAAAGAAAAAGATAATAATTGTTAAACATGTTTTATCACGAATCCAGTCAAACTATAGGTCGTTTACAATTTATCGAGTTGTCCAGCATTGATTCAATTCATCACTGTTCTTATTTTACCAGGTCACTTTTGACACTTGTATTTATAAAAAAAGCAACAATAACAATGAGTGATCAAAGCAAACTCAAAAAGAAATGTCATATTAATAATAATGTGTGTATTTAGTAACTATAATTGAATTAGGCTAATTACACCTAACATTATTTCTATCATTAGCGAAATTTATTAAATGGCCAAGATTAACTATGAGAAAATTACTTTTGGCCAGCATGTCTGGTACTTGTATAATAAGGAGTTATTAGAACTACTATAGAGTGTTTGTAGAAATTGGTAGATTTTGTAGTTAACATTACGTACTGATCTTAGGCAATAAAAAACCCCGAGTGCACTGGATATCTGTTTAGTCTAAGTATGAGACATATGAACAATGCTTAATCAAGACAACTCGGAATCCTGTGAACGATCCTTGATGAAACCATGGATACTTACTTCTAAGGCGTCATATAATATAGGACGAAGCAAATGTCCAGTACTTCCTATTTTTCAGTGGTTCCATAACTATGATCAGTTCGTGATTTTAGCTGTGAAATCAAATAGGACTACTCGAATTGACGTTTGATATCCTTTATTTCAGATTTAATGTTCTGAAAGTCACTTTTAAGCTAAATAACTTTAAATCTTCGGTATAGTATGACTGAAATTATGGATATTGTATCTATCTAGCATTAGTAGTCATGGCATCATATTCTGTATATCTGAACTAATTACTACTGTGAGAACAGCCTAGATGGGTGTTTTACTGTGTAAATAAACAATGTGAGTGCAACTTGATAAGTCTTGCTAATTGAACTCTATGTTCGGTTCCTAAGCTATTCTCGTAACTCTCAAGCTACAACTATACAGCGACCTGAACACGAGAGAAAAGGCGCAAAACATGCGAGAAGCGCTTTACTCCAAAGGTTTGTTTTCGTACAAAAAATATAGGGTTTTTATAATATTTTAGATGTTCTTGGGTTTCCCGAAAATTCCGGGATGTTACTAAACAAAGTAGCAGTATAGTAATCAGTCAATCAAAAAACTCTACATGTGACTTTTCACTTGATGCTTCTTGATGTTCCTGGGTAAACTTCTGGTGGACGCTGATAGGATAAAATGCTTCTTAGTATTTCCTGAGCCTTTCTTATCCTTTGCGAGAAGTTTTCTGGATCACACTAACACAACATCGTATTAGGATACTGGAAAATGTAAAACAGAATATGATTGCTAAATTATAAAAATCTTAATCTCAAACATTTTTATAAGCTATCCAACCAACTTTTAGAATTAAAGGATTACATACTTGTAAGGAATAAGGGTTACATGACTGTTCACTGTGACTGTCTATTCTTCTGAATCCTTTTAAAAGTTACATAGATTTCTAATTAATCCATATTATTGATTGACTTAAAAGCAATCATATTTCTGATTAGTAAAGATTAACATTTTATTATTAGTGAAGAAAAGATATATGATCACCATAGAGAATGGAGTTTTTTTAATCAATACACTACTAACCTAACAAGTTACATGCTACAGTTTTATGTGTACTTTCATTAAAAAAATGGTTATTATTAGCAAACACAAATTTTAATAACAATAATAGGTACTTTATTTAGTGTTACATTTTGTTGCTGTGAGAAATTCTCAACATCACTGATTCAAGGTTACAATAAATTCTTTTCAGTGTATATTTAAACGGTAAATAGTCGAATCGAGGACAGTTGACAGTCGCATTCCAAGTGAGGACCAGAGTCAGGAAAGGCTGTTACTATCACCCTTTCTCTTTATTCTGGGGGTCAACTGAGTGTTGAAGACCTCGACATTTGAGGAGAAAAGTGGAATACAATGGATAGCTCGGAATCAACTGGACAATTTAGACTTCGCAAATGACCTGGCTCTTCTGTTCCATACACACCAACAAATGCAGATGAAGACAACTAGTGTAGCAGAAGCCTCTACATCACTAGGCCACGAGATACACAAGGAAAGAGCGAGACCTTCAAATACAACACAGAGAACATTAACTCAGTCACATTTGATGGAGAAGCTCTGGAACAGGTGAGAACTTCCACATACCTGGTCAATATAATCGATGAACAAGAAGGATCTGATGCGAATGTAATGGTATTGATTGATAAAGTGAGGGTAGTGTTCATACAGTTGAAGAACATATGGAACTCAAAACAACC